CGTCGCACTTATTTCTTCTTCTTCTCTCCACTTCTATTCTCTCTCTCTCTCTCTCTCTCTCTCTCTCTCTCTTTCTATTTATCTATCCATCCATCTATTTATCTATCTATCTATCTATCTATCTAGCTAGCTAGCTATGTCCCTTTTAATAAATTCATAAATTTTCCTATACTATTCTTAATGTGTGTCACTTATCGCGTCCGCGATCATAAATTATATTCTCAGAACGATAAAAAATCGTACAAAATCTATCCTATAGAATAGATAAAATATCATCGGATGTTTTACCACGCTATATATTCCTTAAAGATTTCTTCTTATTTTCGAACAATTGATTTTATGAAATACTTGTAAAAGAATTCTTTGAATAGTTTATGATAACGTTTATGACGCGAATAGCTAGTTAACTTTTAAAAAAAATTTAAAGTCATCTTTAATAATGGCATCGTAACTACAATTTAAATTGAAATTAAACAAATATCTAAATTACTTTTTACAAGAATTGCGTTTAAAATTAAATCTCTCAAAATTATTTCAAAATCGCAAGATACGTTATTTTAAGATTCATGACAGATTCATGACCTTTTCTCGAGATCAGCTACGATAAGTAGATAAAAAAAACTAACATAGTACGAGAGAGAAGAGTTGAAAAAAAAAAAGTCGAGATAATTATAACTTTTTATTGAAATTATCGTTACCGCTCAACCAATCCGATATGTACGATACGTATTTCACGCGCAAACTGTATTTACATTATTTAATTTTGATATATCGAAATAACTCGTTAAAATAACGCTACATAACGCATAAATGATTTGCGCACGAATACTCGTTATTTTTGCATGCTCGATTTTTTGCATACATCGAGATATTCGAAAGAATGTGCACACACAACGGCGACGAGTATCTATCGATGAGTACACGATGCTTTTCGCTCTAATATTGTTTGGTAAAAAATGAACATCGATATTGCGTGATAAAGAATCGTGTACACCTATATTATATAATTGTATGTACAAGGATGAAATTATTATAAAGAAAGATAATCTCTATTCTCTATATCATAGAATAATCTACTTGGATATAAATATTTGATTGGTAAAAAGATTCAATTGGGACAGAGTGAATTATGGTAACTTTTGCAGTGTCAACGTATCATTAGATGTTACGTTACAACGACGAGAATTAGTGACCACACTATCAAAAAGAGGGTACATTGATCATTCGGGTATCGTGCCTGATGGTGAGCCTGACTCCCCGCCACCCCTGTCCGAGCAGGCAACACTGACACACGGAAGTACAAAATGAACAGAGTTAAATACTTCGCTCTACTTATTAAAATTGACATAAACAACGATAGACGTGATAAATACCAATTAATGTCCCGGCAAAAGCAAGACCGTGCCACCTCCCGTCTTAACCACGCAAGATCAGTGCGTTTATTAATTAAAATATAATAACGTATCTCAATGGTATAAAACCAGCGTTAAGGGAGGAACAGTACATAACTATACGCATGCACTATCTACACATTACTAGTTTGATATCATTAATAGTTTGTTCAATCGTGAAACGACATTTTACGTCGATGATCGAACTTACCTTTGAAACGTTTGCCTCTTCACGTAATTATCCCGCACAAATTCCACGATTTGTTTCTGAGTTTTTCCGCTATACCTAATAATCGTAATATCGAGAAATTGCGTTAAATTAATATTAATAACATTGCATTTATTAGCGAAAAAAACGCAAAACAAAAAAAAAAAAAAACAATTTTTTAAATCATAAATTCACATACCTAAATGATGACCCACGGCTGAGAACACGCGTTTTTTGTCGTACCACTCGTTTCACTACTGAACAACGGAAAAATCCATGATTCTCTACACATTTTTTCCAGAAATTTTTACACTCGTTGCGTCCTTCGAAAAAAAATTCCACGGTATCTTTGTAATAACCCTACAATCGTTACGGGAAACGATCAATTTTCGAAACCGATTCTTTCTAATTTAAACGATATTTAAATACAATATCTACTTACGTAACCCTCTGAATGAAGTTTAATTAAAAATCGTTTTCTTTTAAAACTGATTTTCCTGATCTTAGCCCAACTGAATGTATTTATCTTAGTGAAATTTTGAAAAACTACTATTCCCATATGTGCCACTGCCAAATTGAGCGATGCACCCTCGTGATCCTTTGATAACAAATGAAACACAATGATCCTATATCTATCCATCTATTAAAAAAACAATAAACAAGTTACATTCTACTTACTTTAGCCGGATGCATTTTCATTCCATACAATTCACATCGACGTGCTGTTTCTAACAGATTAAGATCCGCTTCTGCTGGTGATTGACCTCTATTCACAAAATGACCATATTTTTAATCCATTTGATTCAAATTACATATTTAAGGATATAATAAAAAGAAAATCTTACGCGTGTTTTTTATGATTTTCCATGATACGACGTTCTAATTCTTGATCTTGATGAGGCACAAATTTGTAAGTTGATAAATACGTATGATCTGGATAATCCTCTATCACATAATCCCCGCATTCAGCTAAAATAATTAATCATTTGTCCTAATACTATTCCGTTTTTTATTTTTATCATAATCAATGAATTGAATTGTTATTTACCCTGGACGATATAACTCGCCATCAAAGCTGCTGTATTATCGTTGCATTGTAACAAAGCTTGAGCTAAATCCCTTTTAATTTGAAGACAAAATAAATATCTTGTAAATTCTTCTTCTAATTGCGCTGGATCAGGTGTATAAAATTTAACGCAAAATCTTAATAACGGATCTATCAAAGATAATCCAACTTGTCTACAAACTGGCTTCTCTAAATCTAACCAATACTGCAATTAAAATGTCATCGGTAAGCATTATGTATTAAAGCATAACCATTTATCAATACGTCTTTTAACTTCTTACTTTTGTTCCATTAAGTTCTTGATATTCCAAGCCAAAATAATCAGCTTCCAAAAGATGTAACTGCTTACAAACTTGATCGAATAATACTCTTCCTAAAGCTTTTGCCTAAAATTTAAATAAATACAAGAATAGTGAAATCTAATTCTTTTTATTATAAAAAATGTTCAATTTATCTTATATTACTTTCTAAAATGACTGTTTTAAATACTTTATTAAACATTTTATAAAATCAATATATCAATACTTTTTTTCAATACATCATATTATAGTATAACCTCCAATTATATGCTCCAATTATTCATTTAGAAATCTTATACATATATGCGTAAACAGTATAAAGCGAATAATTTTTTATTGTAAAAAAAGTAGATTTATAAACAATAACATTTTTTTTCTATTCTTAAAAATATATTATAATATGCATTTTATGATATTCTAATAAAAAAAAAAAAAAAAGAAAAGAAACAAGTAATGTAAATGTCTTCATTGTAAAATTTAATATGAAAATATCTCTATCTCTTGTTTCTAAATTTACATTTCAAACATTGATAAATCACAAAAAATTATTCTGAAAAAAATTACCTGAACTTGAAACATTGTAATTGTATCATCTAACATCTGTACACGAACAGCAAGCATTTTACCAGCTTTCCTAGGTGTCGTGGGAGGAGTTCTACTACCTCCATCCACACCTGCTGGAGTTGAATGACTATGAGGCATTTTAGATCCTCCACTGCCTTTCATGCTTATACTTTCTATATCGTTCATTTTCAGTCATCTACTGAGAATCGTAGAATGACCATCTATAAATTATTTCCTTATGGAAAACTTGATTTCTAATTCACTATTACATTGTCATCTGTAACAAAATATTAAATACACTTTGATATTCTTTTATCAAAGAAAAAAAATTGAATTAAATATGAAAAATCTTTCGTATAAATTTCGTATCATTGTTAATGTGTAATACGAAGGGTTAAGTAACTAGAAAACATCTTCACGAAAAAATTATTTAAAATTTTTTTCTATTTTTTCAATTCAAAAGTAAATAATATTTGAATAACATCGTAAAATCTTATACATACATTGCGTACAATTTTTTAAAAAATGCAAAAAATATTACAACGACATTATGACGAAAAAAATATATCCATAAACATTAAAAGTCAAAGATTATAATTTATTATGAAAAAGAATTAGCCTAACTTTTCTTCACGTTATATTTTTTTATAAAAAGATACTTACGTTTGTTTACATAATTACTAATTGCTATTTATTGTTCGACAATTCACTGTTAAAGTGTTTTATTTTATTTTAGCAAAAAGGCTGAACGATGTTACGTCAAAACTATGATTATACCGATTATACTACTAATCGAACGATGCTAATGGAATACGTTAAGAGATTGGTTGAAAGGGTTGCAAGTGTTGATTTGTCGATCAATGAATGATCTTAAAATTTAAATATATAGATACCGTGTAAAGCTTTATCGATCATATTACGTTATTAAATTTTTTATGTAAAATATCAAATTTTAAAAAAAGAAATAAATAAATCAAAAGATCATTTTTAAACGTCTTAATGGATCCAAGAACGAAGCATCTTAAATCGAACGGAAAAAGGCGGGGCCTAGGATCTTCAAAAGGATCAATCACATTATAAAATAATAAGAAATGTTGCATTCTTTCGTACATACATCTGCCGGTTTAATAAGATCAGTGACAGCACGCCCCAATATACAGCAACGCGGAGTTCATTGATCACTAAACACTCATGCACCGGCACTCCCGCTGTAAAATCGTTTTCGCGATACTCGTGATTGTTAATAAGTCGTTTACCCCACTACTACCCCGAAAGTATATTTCACGAATGATCTCTATATATCCCTGAACAGCGAACAAGGAAATCTCCAAATTGAACCACATTACACACCTATGGAGCACACGCCTTGGCATAAATTATATGAAATGTCAGAGGTTCTCAGCATGCAACGAATAATAAAATAATTCATTGATAAACTAGTGTAAATGATAACATCTGAACGTAACGAATCGCGAAATAGTAAAACTCGATTTTCCGAAACATACCTTGACCAATTCAAGTCCAATAGACAACTAACTACTGGCATTGCTCCTACGGCGCGCGATGTACGCCAAGGGCGGAGCCACACTAAAAGAAGACAAACAGCGACATCCACGAGAAAATTCGAGAACTCGAATCGCTCAAAAACAACTTTATTGTATCATAGATATAATGATTTTTTTCATTTCTCATTTTTTAAAATTTTTTATATGTGCATACCTTAAGAATTGAAAATAAAACAAAATCGAAATTTTCCTTCAATTATACATGCTTATTTAATATTTATCATTTTCCTTTTTCTTATTCGTATCACCAATAGATACACTGATTTCCCTGATAGGGAAGTAAAGCCGTGCCTTGCTTTTGCGCATAGCTGAACTCGTTTGTTTCGAGTATGTATCTCGTAAGATGGCGCTTCATATCTAAACGTCACGACAACTGTCAATTCTCAGTTATCTACAAACCACAAATGTCAAATCAACGAAAGTAAACAATAGAGGTTTTTATACTTTTATTTCATAGACTATGTGTATAGTATTAAAATTATTTCATACTCAATATATTCTCAATCATATAAATATGTGTGAACAATTATGAAATTCTGAAATAACGTTTTTATCAATTATATTTGAAAAAAAATCATCATTAATAGCATTTCAAAATATATGTATTATATTAATATATTAATCATAATTAATTTATTTTAAAATTGATATAAAATTCTTCGTTTATTCGTTACTTTATAAAATATTTTATAAAAATGTTCATGTTGCAGGATATAAAGATAATTCTTCTTAATGTGATTTTGATATATATATAATTATTATAATTATATTGAAGAAAAATGTCAGACGAAGAAGATACTGCAATACTATTGAATAGTGCGAATAAAACTATTGAAAAATCTATAAACAAGGTTCCGAATGATTATCAATGTTTACCTCCTAAAAATTTAAGGAAACCACTTCCAAAAGAGAATGATAATTTAACACCATTAACATCTGGAAATAAAAATATTTTTGTTTCCATGGTGGCAATTTTAGCAGGAATTGCTTTTGGAAGTGATATGAGCATTGCAAAACCTATAGCTCCTTTAATCAAACATGAATTTAATTTGAACTGTTTTGAAAAAGATTTTGTTATAAGTATTTGGTTTGTCGGAGCTCTTGTTGGTGGTTTAACTGGTGGTACGTATAAAAAAAATTTCTAAAAATAAAAATAAAAATGTATAAAAATGAATGAAACAAATTATATCAATAATATAATACTTTATAGGTTTTTTGATCGATTCATTCGGTCGACGTTGGACCATGATATTGACGTTAGTTTTTCTAACTTTTGGCGCTTTGTTATCAGCTTTGGCAAATCATTATATTTTATTACTTGTCGCTCGGATGATTTGCGGATATTCTGGATCTGTATCAGCCATAGCTCATTGTATATATATGGCAGAAGTGTCCGAGTTAAATAAACGCGGATATAATATAATATTATATCAATTGGGTGTAGCTACTGGATTTTTGATTTCCGTCATTGCCGCTGCGATCAAAAATATTGATTATCAATGGCGATTTTCAATTGGTATAACAGCCGTACCTGCTTTAACCGCTTGTATAATAACCATTATATTTCTTCAACGATCTCCACCGTTTTTACTTTATAAAAGAATGGCAAATGTTTCGAAAACATCGTCAAAGAAAGCTTGGTACACAATTTTTGAGACCCTAACGATTATGGCTTTTTTACTGATATTTCAACAAGGTACTGGCAAACGGCAAGTTTTGTATTACGCACCAAGATTGTTTGCGTTATTAGGTATTTGTTCTAGTAAGTGTTGTAATCATTATTCTTTTATTCTCTCTCTTTCTTCTTTTTTTTTTTTTTAATTCGAACAAATATTTTTTGCTTCATTTGTTATACAGACGTTGCAGAAGTCACAGCCTTAATATCGCTGGCTATCGTGAAGGTATTTAGTACAATGTTATCTTTGATCATAGTAGAAAGATGTGGTCGACGAACAGCTCTAATTACATCGGCAACTATCTGCATGACTACAATATCGTTATTATCTTTACTTGCTACGATAGATAGGGGTGACGACAATTTAGATGTTATAAATAATCATTGTAAGAATCATCGTAATGAGGAAGTTAAAATTCATACCATTTTACCTACTGGATCACCACCGCCGTTCCCCTTACTACCGACTCCGTTAGCTATTGTACCACCTAGTCCAGAAACATGGACGCAAATTAAAGCATCTTGCGAAGTATATTTTTCTCATTTACCAGATTCACGAGCATTGATGGCATTCAATTAAATTGCTTCTATTTTATTATAGATACAAAATATTGCTGTTTCGGATGGTTTAACCGATAGTTTGCGTATCCTAGCAGTAATAACGTTACTCGTGTATGAAGCAGCATATGCTTTAGGACTTGGACCAGTACCACTTTTAAATCTCACGGAAGTTTTCCCTGCAGCAGTACGAGGGAAATGTATCAGTTTCGTTTCCATTGTAATATGGATAACCCATATTATTGCTACAGAATCTGTCAGTGCTATGACCAGTAAGTTTCCTTTCATTCTTTTCTTCTATGTATTAAAAAAAATAATATATATATATATATATGTGCGAATTATTTTTCATTTAATTAAGCATATAATTATTCTTCTTTCAGAATCGTTGACATTAGCTGGCTCCTATTTATTTTATAGTTTCATGTGTCTCGTTACAATATTTTACGTCTTTCTTTTCATTCCCGAAACAAAAGGTAAATCTTTACATCAAATTGCTCAAGAATTAAGGAAAATTTCTCTTGGGATGCGTATATGTAATAATTTGCGCAGTTTACCGCTCATTTGTCACATTCAGTGGATAAAACGATATAATGAAAATACAAATAACGGGCAAAGTACTTTAATTTGAAAATGAAATTTCAATTATCAAAATATTGGATTATCCCAAAAGTTCTTGTAGTTTTTTTTATTATTGAGAGTATTTAAAATAATTTCTAAATCATTTTTGAACCATTAAAAATTATTTTATAACTGGTTTAGGTTATTGAGTTTGTTTCGAAATTATTAAAAAAAAAAAAAAATTTTTTCAAAATAAACAGTTTGAAAAATTCCAGGATAATCCAATAAACATATATAATCCTTATATGTCGACGAAAGTATTCTAAATATTATCTTTATCTCATTTTGAATGAATTATTATAAAAAAACTTATCTTAAAAACACTTCTATATGATATTGTGTTCAATAAGTATTGTATGTCAATAATACATACACGTGTACTTCCAAAAATATTATCGTAACTGCCGATTGTTATAGAACATATCACACATAATGTAATAGAAATGTCAAAATATGTAAATCATTTTTGATGCCAAAGACTGACTAGGTTTTTAATTTCATCTTTTCATCTTCTTTCAATTTATTAAACAAGAGATATTATTAATAATAATAATTCTATTTAAAAAATTTATATATAATTCTTGTTGATTTTTTCACTCAATGACACATTGTATGACGTAATTACTTGTACGGAAATTTTAATTGAAAAATATGATTAGTAATCAAGTATTAAGGTAGATATATAAAATTAGATATTTTATAATATAAAGGCAGATTTTAAATTATGTTTAGAAATAAATACTTGACATTTGAATAAGAAAATATATGACATATAATATTTACGATTTTTCAATAATCATAATATTATTTTTTTCATCGTATGTATCACTATGCGTATATATATATATATATATATATATATATATATATATTATTATATAT